CACCTCCATCACAGCCGCCACAGACCCCATACACACCATTCCGCCACACCCTCGCTCCATTCCCTGCGGAGTACACGCCCCACCCCTCAGTGGCACCTTCAGTGGCATCATCCACGCCACAACCCACCACACGTGGAATTTGTTCCCAATCGCTCCCCTCACGTTCAGAATGTCATCGTTTCTCAGCATTTTCAACGACTTCCGCCTCGGAGTCAGAATTCCACAACCTTTCCAGGTCCTCTTCCACGACTTCGCCGCCTCCCCCCCACCACCTCCACCTCAGCAATCCCAATCCCAAGGCATTTCCTCCAACCAGCCCCTACCCATCGCTGTGAAACACCACCCCATTCCCCAGAAAAAGATGACGAACAAGACAAGACATTGACATTTCACCCTCCAACCGAGAGGCCTCACCTTTCGCCAAGCGAGCCTCAAAATCTCGCTCACATTCCTCCAGGCTAGGTCCAGATCACGTACACACTCCAGAACCAAATCCCGTACCCATTCACCCACTCCCAACCCCACACCTACAGAAGACACGTCCGACGAACTTTCCCAACCCAAACAGTCCCCGGCCAAGTACCCTGCCAAGTTCCCACCAGCCAATCGCCCTCCTATCGCACCCCCATCCCGTTTACCCAGACTCAATACCACGCCACCACCAGGTATTTGGACAGACCCACGCCGTGGCCAAGCAGCACCACCACCTATCCGACTTAGACTGATTGGTTTCGCCCTTTCGTCCAATCTTTCCCAGATAAGCAAAAAGATTCGCAGGTTCATCACGCTTCACTCAATATTGTACATTCCCACACTTGATACCAGCAGCCTGACTTCTTCCAATTCTTTTGTATTTCTTTATTGCTAATACATTTCGCACTTCCATGTACACCAGATGTTTGTACCGATCGTCATTCTCCTGTTTTTTGAACTTTGCAACTTTTCAACTTTTAAACTTTTCCTTCAGTCATTTGATCAGTCACTCCACCGCAGCCATTCTCAATCAATTATTAATTATATATTCCAAGCTTTGATCTGTGACTTTGAGTTTGCGATTACAATGGAGGGCGCCTTCTGGCAGTGGACTCAGAACCTTCCCTCGGGGCATGTATATGGAGTTATGTCCGCCCAACTCAGTGTGAGAAGTACCATCTATCATGCCCGTGAGCAGCTCCACTCTATTGACGAAACCATATACTTGCATGCATGATCCAATTCTCCGACACCTGACTTCACCATTGGCCGACAGGATTTGTCGCATCAGAGCACTAGTTGAACATACACAGCAAGACTTTACACACACGCCCTCAATCACATCGATGCCATCAGCCAGATGCCGCTGGACACACTCGAAGGCAAGGGCAAAGGACAGCCCACCAGCAGAGCCCACAGACGATCCTACAACAGGCTGACCACCCCCACAACACTCCACACTTGATCCTACAACCCCCATCCATCCACCAACCGACAAACAACAACAACAACAACAACAACAACAACAACAACAACAACCACCACCACCACCACCACCACCACCACCACCACCACCACCACCAC